AGAGAGAATAAGAAGAAGAATGAGCGAAAGTAATGCATTATTTTTTTTTCCTAGGTTTGAGAAAAACCCAAATCTGGGTTTAAGAAAGGAAGAAGAAGGAGAAAGGAAGAAGAGGAAGAAGAAATCTGACGTGGGTGAAAAAAAAAAAAGAATTATTACGTTTAAATTAAATAAAAATGCTAACTCATAAAAAAATGGCCAACTATACTTTTTTTTTCCATGTCATTGATTAAGAAAAAAAAAGAATTGATTTGCTGGTGCCACCTGTCATTTAACTGACAGAAGGACTATTTTGGTACCAAAACTAAAAGTTTAAGGATAATTTTGGTACTTTTTAAAAATGAGAGACAATTTTGGTGTCAAAGTGAAAAGTTGAGGGACTAAAATGGTACTTAAACCCAAAAACAAATCAAAACATGCTTTTAAAATCAAAGGGCGTTACCATAATTTACTTACCTCACTCGCATAAACTGAAGATTCAATCTCAATGCTAACTGACAGAACGATCGGAAACCTAATCAAAATATCCACAATTAATCATCGTATTATCACAAATTCACACTGAAATCATAATTAAGACTACCCTTAATCACGATGCTATTTCTACAAATCTTCACATTATCAGATATCTCTAAATTCGTTCTTATATCACAAACTAATCACTTAAATCCTCATTAATTGTTGGCCCTCGGTGTGTGAACAGTGTTCTATGAACAGCACCCGTGTACAGTACCTATGAACAGTACCGTGAACAGTAACTGCACTTCCAAAATTGGTCAAAACACTAGCTAATTCACGGGATTTTCTCCAAAAATCACACAGTAGTCAATTAACACTCAATCACATAAATCCCACTTCAATTAAGCTCAATCATGGTCCTAAAGCTATCAAATTCTTCCCCATTTTTCTAGCAAAATTTGGACATACACAGCCAGCAAACTAAATGAACAATTTAAGCCTTAAAAGGCTGTCACATACCATAATTCTCCAGCTAAAACCGGAGCTGCAGATTGGGGAAAGGCCGGCGGCATGGAAGAAGAAAGCTCACGGGAAATCTATCAAAATTCTGGAGAAACAACACGTTTAACATGAACCCAAGCTAATTTAAGGCTAAAACAAAGAGATTTAATGGTTGTTTCTTACCCAAAACCCAAGCAATTTGCCCCCACAACAAGAGCAGCCGGCGGACAGAGCAAGGCAGATCCAGATTGGGTTCCCCTTTTTTTTTTTTTCTCTTGGGCTGCAGCGGGAAGAAGAGCAGAATCGGGTCTGAGGAGGAAGAAAAGAAAGAAAGAAAAAGAAAAAGAAGGAAGCTGATCCTTATCCTAAAATCTTCCCCTCTTTAAGTCCCTCAACTTTCAGAATATTCACATTAAGCCCCAAAACAATCTTTTCTCACACAAAGGTCCTTAACTTAATGCTAAAATATCACAAAATTTTGGGGTATTACAATTTATATGGTGGCAATAACCATCCCTATACCAATTAGCACACTAAATTTTGATCAATATGTAGCGATTTAACTAGTATAGCCTAAATCAAAATCAATATGTATTGACCATATTGACCTTATGTCCCAAGATTGCTACTATGTAATTGTTTGTATCCCAATTAACCTTGTTTGAGAAAGTGGGTGACAATGTGTCCATATTTGAGAAATATTGGAGTTTGTAACCTTCATGATATTGAATTGGAAGTCTTAAGCTAAGTACTTGGGATGAAAGCAGATGTATTGCACCAAATCATGATTATTGTTATTATTATTATTATTATTTACCATAGCACTAAATCAAGTTGAATTACTAAAAATAAAGTGTTATTTTTCCCTTAATATTAAAATTTTTGCAATCAAATTTTATTGATAAAATATTGTTTATTTTAAATTGGATTCATTGTTGAATTTAGTAGAAATGGAATATTAGGAATTTAAGTTAAAATTGTCTAAATTCAAGAAGGCTTGATAAAGCTTTCAAGGTGTGTCTCAAGTGGTTAAAAATTTAAGACTTTAAATTGGAGACCTCAAGTTGAAATTTTGAAATGGGTAAGGTAGGATTAAGGGAAGGGGAGTTTTAGGAATATATTCAAACAACCTGCTCTAATTGCTATTAGTGCCAACTGTAGGACATGTCCAAGGTCCACTACAAGTTAAAGTAAGCTTAGTATTTCAATCATCAAATACAAACATATGATATATTCATACACATGTTACATCAAATGTGTGTCTCACCAAATCACTCTAGATGCACCACTTTCAATTTTGCTAATCACTTTAACTAAACCACATACCAAATAACCAATTAAACAGTGAAAAGTTCGGCTTCTCTTTAGAGGTTTAAGATGATCAATTTAATACATGTGGAGGATACCACTGGTTCAATCATTAAAACCTATCATTTTAAGGTTTTTTTTTTTTTGCTTTCGACTAAAATTTGAAAATAATAATTTTTTAATAAATATATTGTAAAATATAGTAAATTGAAGTGTATTTATATTAATGTCCTAAATCCTTATTTCAAGCCTATTTGTTTTTAAGAGAAGACAATACCAAATACACATGTATTTTACCACAACCATATATAACACTTAAAGGTAAACTCTTGAACAAGTTGGGATATATTTGCCTAAATCTGTATTTTCTCATGGACAACTCTATGTTGCAATACCAATAATGCAAAATAGATATTATGGTTTAAAGATACTAATTAACAATAACAATGTGCTAGAAGGTACATAACCAAATTAACTATTGCCAAGAACATTATTGTGTACAAAGAGATGTTCAAGTATTTGAGATAGAGAACTTAAATAAGTTAGTAATTTTATTTGAATTGCCATTATTATTAGAAACAATTTTAAATTGGGATTAAAGAACTATTCTTTTAAATCTTTTTTAGTTATCCTAATCCCTCAACTTTATATAACTTAATTTGATGATTTATATAGTAAATAAATAATATGATATAAGAGAAAATAATCAATAAGAACTATACATAGAAAGAAAAAGGTTTTCAATATTTATTTATTTAATATATAACATCATCTAATCAAACTTTATGTAAAAGTCAAATTGCGACAATAAAATTCGACCAAAGGGAGGAACATTGCATCATTGATCCATTGACATATTTCTATTATTAAATGTTTAAATTTTTTTTTTTTATAATTGTAGATTTAATTGGAATTGTCACCGTGTGGAAAATCCAAAATTAGGGAATACAAGATATGGAAACAGAATAAAATGTCATGAGTTGCATAGGAAATAAATTCCAGTTGTATTGTCGATTTCATTTTTTCTTTTGTTCATTGTTAAGAAACAACTTCTAAGTCCTTCAAAATCCAAATTAAAACTTCATAAGAAGCTGTATCTAAGAAATTCTAAAGAATAAAAAAGGGAGATTAAGAACAAATCAACATCCAAAACATACTACACAAATAGCAAACAATAGATAGAAGATGCTAAGACACATTTACCTTAAGCAATAAAATCTTAACGAATCTTGCAGGGATAAAGGGAAGTGCATTATGAGTGAAGAACCATGATAAATTTATGCACTAACAAAAAGTTGGCTAAGTTGATACCCATTAACTTAAAAATCTTGATTTGGGGTCAACATCAGAAGTTTAAACTTTTGTAATGCTAAACAACTAATGCTTCAACATAAGAAAAAAAAATTGATAAAAATAACCGATAATTATTTGATAGAACAATTGATATTTGTTAGTTAAGAAATTAAAATTAGTCAATAAA